TATAAGGCCTACGTAAAAGCCAGACAACGAACTGGGTCCAGATCTAACTTATGATTTTTTTTATTATAGTTAATAGCAAGCAAGTCTAGAGAAGAATCACGAAGAAGTATCAATAAACAGAATGAAACTCAGTTATGGTAATACAATTTCTTTAAATAAAAGAACGCGGTGACGAAGTCATTTTAATTCGTCACCCTTTTGTTTCTTACATAGAAAATGGTGAGGAGCGGGACTGTGGGGGAAGGTGGGGGAAGGAAATGCTTGGGTGGAGGGGTGGGTGTGTGTGTGTGTGTGTGATGGGGGACGGGTAGGAAATACATACTCGACTGGTAACAGCGGCGATACAGTGCTCTGCTTCTTTACGGTTTATCTTTATGTTTACTGAGGGGTTGCACTGTACAGTATTTGAAAAGTGCTCTGTAAATCTAAAAACAATTAATTATATCTTACGCACATTAATAACATTCGATTAAAGACAGCTTTTGTTAGGTGGGAAGTGTAAAATTTAAATAAAAATAATAGTATAATTCTTATTGACAGCAAAAGGTGCAGCAGTTATTAATCATATGGGTATTTAAAGTATTGCGCATGTACGATGGTAATATATATATATATATATATATATATATATATATATATTAATCTTTGTGGGAGTTACTATAGTCTGCCAACCCCTTGTGTACGGGGTCACCTCTGACCTGAATAAAATCATCTGGCGTTAGCCAAATAATATATAGTATTAGTCTTTAGGGGAGATACTATTGTCTACCAACCCCTTGTGTGCGGAGTTACCTCTGAACTGCATAAAATCAGATGGTGTTAGCCAAATAAGATATCAAAGGTGATTTACGTCCCCGTAGTGATGGGGTTGATGTGACACCATCTATACACGGGCCCTTGTCTTGTTAGAGGTGGCGTCTGGAGCATTCAATGAAACTGAGCGAGTTATGCCATCTGGCGACGCGACAGTTCACCTTTAGAATGAAGGGACCATTTGAAAATTCACCAACGTGTCACTGAGATTAATTGATTATTGTATATAAAGGGTCAGCAGCTTAAGGAGGGTTACATGTCTGCCCTAGATATCTGCCTTTACAATGTTTATATGGTTATACTTACTGAACAGCCATACTTAATCGAACTTTCCTATTACAGTATGTTATCGTGTAGTTTCAGTGACTTTTTCCTTAGCTCCTGTACCGTTTATTTCTAACTAAAGGGCCAAACACTAACTTTTTATATACTGATAATACAAGGAAAAACTGACGCGATAGATCTGTCGGTCAGTTAAGTTTCAAATTGTTAAGCTTTATGATGTCAGCATAAATTAATTTTATTGCTAATAAACAAAAGACTATCCAGTCTTCGAGGTTCGATTTAAACCTTGACGACAGAAGACTACACTATCCACATTACTTTTATCCTCTTCACCACTGATCGGCTCGTTAGCCGCTTGGGCGATCGGTTACGTCTCTGTTACTTTACTTTACTTTTATCCTCTTCACCAAAAGATCGGCTCGTTAGCCGCTTGGGCGATCGGTTACGTCTCTGTTACTTTACTTTTATCCTCTTCACCAAAAGATCGGCTCGTTAGCCGCTTGGGCGATCGGTCGCGTCTCTGTTACGCACTGTTGGCAGGTACTGGGCATGCACCGGCTCCTGAATATACCTGAACCTGCTCCAGTGTTGGACAAGTCTGGTCTTGGAAGAGTTCACACTCGGTGCCGTCACAACACTTTCTGGTGGATTGTTCCGAGTTCACAACTCTCACTCAGAAAAGTTTGCCCTCACAGTTTTCTGGACTTGCGGCTTCTTCAATCTTGAGCTCGGACCCCTTGTGGGGCGAGCGTCCGCCAGCTCCTAGTAAGGGCACTCGACTGAGTAGTGCCCCTTGAGATGCTTATACACCTCAATTAGGTCGCCCCTTGCCCGTCTGTAGTATAAGCTAGGCAAGTTTAGGCGCTCCAATCTCTCAGGGTAGTTGAGGTGCCGAAGTGCAGGCACCAGTCTGGTGGCCCTCCTTTGAACGTTTTCAACCAACTGACAGTCCCTAGCATATCACAGGGACCAGATGGGGTGACAGTACTCCAGATGGGGAAGCACTTCTTTCTTAAAGATCGTTACGAGGGACGGACCGTCTAGATATATGAACGACCGTCTTACAAGACAATAATTTAGTTGCCGCATTTACCTTCTTCTCGCAATGGCCCGAGAACTTCAGCTCATTGCCAACATACACACCTAGGTCCTTCTCACATTCAGTCTCAACTAGTGCAGCTTCTTCATCCCGTTGGGACATATGATACGCCTCCTTATCATTGGTATGCCCCAGGTGCATCCTCTTACACTTCGTGACATTGAATCTCAGCAGCCATTTCTTTGACCATTCTTGGAGCTCACAGACATCCCTCTGCAGCTCTTCACAGTCCGCTTGGTTCTTGATTTCCCGAAATAATTTGGCGTCATCGGCAAACATTTGTATGGAGGAGTGTACAACGTCAGGCATGTCATTTATGAAACAAACAAACAACAGCGGGCCCAATACACTGCCCTGTGGTACCCCGCTTGTGACAGGTACAAATGATGATTTCGTGCCATTAATCACCACACACTGCATGCAGTCATGTAGAAAGTCTTCTATCCACGCTAGGACATTTCCCCGAATTCCGTACCCTTCCAGTTTGATTTTCAGCCTTTCGTGGGGTACACTGTCGAAAGCCTTGGCAAAATCTAGGTATATATTGTCGATATTACCACCCCGTTCCAGAATATGGATCCAAATATCCAATACCTTGAGCAATTGTGTTAAGCAGGAGCGCCCCGGCATAAAACCGTGTTGGCAATCCTTTACAAGGTTGTTTCGTAGATGTTCCATCGCGGCATCTCTGATAATACTCTCAAGTACTTTACATATTATGCTGGTCAGGCTCACCGGTCTATAGTTGTTCGTGGAGTGACGATCGCCCTTCTTGAAGATAGGGCTCACATAAGCCACTTTCCAATCACTGGGGACCTTTTGTTCATCCAGGCATTTACGAAACAGGATCTTCAGAGGCCTGGCAAGCTCATTGCACAACTCTCTTAGCACCCTGGGATGCACCATGTCAGGGCCGGGGCTCTTATGGACCTTTAGCTTTGACAGTTTATTTCTAATACCCTCTTCTGTGAACACAATGTGGGTCAGTGCTGTGTTGAACCGTCTGTCCTCAAACGCAGGAAGGTGGATCGCATCCTCTCTTGTGAACACTGAGGAAAAGCTGTTCAATGCCTCAACTTTATCCTGGTCAGAATCTGCGTAACTACCATCTTCAAGCCTCAGGTCTGATACTTCTACTCGCGTTTTTAATTTCGACTTTGCATAGCGGTAAAACGCCTTTGGGTTTGACTTGACCTCGCGTGCAACCAGCCTCTGGAACTCCTTTTCAGCCCTTCTACACTCTATCTTTGCTTGGTTTCTGGCTCTTGCATACATCCTCCTGTCCTGCTCACCATTTGACCCAACCCACGTCTTGAATTTATGAGTTTTCTTCTGAACTTTGTCGACCGCTGCATGGTTCATGTGTAGGGATCCCCTCGTATTCCTAGAGGCACTGGGTTTGGTCTTGGGTACATATTTATCGATCAAATGGGTCACTTTACTAGTTGTGATATTCAGCGTAGTGTCTGCGTTCTTGTGTCTTAATGAATCAGGCCAGTGGATACCCCTCATCTCTTCCCTAATCCCGTTGTAATTTCCCTTGTAATATTTGCACCTTGGCCTGGCCTTATCTTGAACTAGGTAACAGTTAAATCTGAATGACAACACTATATGATGACTGGTGCCAACTGGGGCATGGTGTTCCAGTTTGGCCACCATACCCTCCTCGTTTGTTATGGTGAAGTCAAGTGGCTTGGGTGTTTGCTCCCCCCTGTAATGTGTCGGGTCTCTAACATGTTGGAACAGAAAATTATTTCTCAGAGTTTCTACAAAAGGGGTAGCAGGGTTATTCAAGTCATTCGGGGTGGACTCGTTTCTCCAGTCGATGTCGCCATAGTTAAAGTCCCCCATGATAAGGAAGTGGCTAGGGTTGAGCATCGCCGCGTTGTTTATTAAGGTTCTTAAGTTCCTTTGATTTAGTGGGCCACAGATTGGGGATCTGTAGATACACCCGACGATAAGTAAGTCCCCTCCCTTTAATTTAATTTTACACCACTTGGGCTCTTCAAAAACATCCTCTCCCTGTACCCTCGCCTGGCTGGCTCTAAGGTTTTGCCTAGCATAGATAACCACACCCCTCCTGCATGTTTCTTGAGAAAGGTTCGTAAATGAGTCATATCCAGCAATACTGAACTCACATTCCATTAACATGCATCCATCACCAGTTCTGCACACGGGGGAGGGGGGGATACGCAAAACTTTGGGCAAATTAAAGCTAACTAGTTCCCCACTCGAAAACATTATTTCAAAAATTTCCTTTTATTTCATGCGATAATACACACTGATATTTTAATTACTGTACTAAAGGAACGAAACAGTTATATCTTTTTTATAGTTAAGCGCTATGGTATATTATATTACAGGACTATGTTCAAGGCAATGTTACCTTCAGTTTGTAACAAGTTTTAAATAGGCCAAGCAGTCACGGTGAGACCCCCACCAACTGGTTTAAGTTATACGTTGACTAGTGACTGGCTTTCACCTTACATTCACTATACATGTACTTTGCTCTCACACTTTACCGGGATTCAGAAGTCTATGTTCATCATTATGTATTGTCTTGTTCTACATCGACATGGGAGCATAATTCAAGTCACACCCCTGGTTAAAGGCCACGCGTTTATCCACAAACCACCTTCAACAGAGGTACCCCCCAAATGCCCCCCTGTCCATCCCCTCCCACCCCATATGATATTGATCACTTTTGGCGGGAAGGTGTAAACGAGTCTGCTCTTGATAATTAGTTATGAGCTTTTCTACCACTGTGAAACATTGAACCATTGACAGCTTAAATTATACTTACCTTGCCAAAGTATGCAGCCCAGTGTGTTGGAGTCCAGCCATAGTAAGTGTCCTCGACCGTGATGTGTGAGCGAGCCGCTTCTTGTTGTAAAAGCAACGTGAGCGATTCAACATCACCGTCCCGACATGCACGATGAAGCGGGAAATTTTTAGATAAAGTATTTTCACTCATGACGCTCCAGCTGCCACTACTGGTCCTGTGACCATGATCTGACATCTCGCTGATGCTAAATAATGATAACTATTAAGATGTTAATGTAAAATGTCAGATTTCTCGGAAAACCCACGTTACACTGCACTCTACACCACAGCTTATCGCAGTCTGAGCAACAACACTTGCCGAGTTGCGGTCAATGTAGTGCCGGGTGACGGAGCTACGAAGGGGAAGCTGGGAAATGAAATGCACTGTTCAATTTAATTAATTTCACTGTACAAAATTCGTTTTTATTATTTTATTTCACATATGTCTTAAGCTTTAGGTCTGTTTAAATTAAGAGATTAATATGAAAATGCCTAAGAACACGGTTAAGATGAATGGTAGCTTCTGATGCCAATATCGTTTTCGTTCCTTCAAAGTCCAAAGTTTTCAGTTTTTCTGATATTTAAAAATTATTTACTGTTAGTAAGTATTCTATGTAGACAATACAAACATTTTTATAGCATATATATTTAATGTTTTATATACACATAAATATATACACTTATATATGTATATATATGTATATATATAATTATTGGTTTTCAGTTCAATAGAATTTGCCGCATTGGCAACCCAACGAAGATACAGTTGCCATATTGCAAAACAAAAATATTTATTGGTGCCCACAAAACAATTAATGTTTAGTAACTCAAATTATTTCCTCAGCTTAAAATAGAATTAAACATTACTGCGTGGGTCTAACCTTTTATTACGACTTAATCCTAACAATCATAGAAGAAAATGTAATAAAAAGCAAAATATAAAGCAGTGTTACCAGCACAAATGAATTTGCTTTTCGATGGATGTCAAATTGAAAATCGTATTGGAAGACGTGGCTTTTTGTAATATACCCGTTTGATTAAATATAAATCATTGAAGAGCGGAATGTGAAAAGGGGGGAAGGGGGCAACAGGTGTCCGAGAGACCGGTAAGAGAACGCGGGGGAGGGGGGTAACAGCTTGAATGAGTGAAGCAAATTACATATTGATTTCAAAAGTATCATGCATTGATAAGACTTTCTGATTTGATTATTAAATGTCTAATTCATAGTTTAAAAAAATCATGTTAAAATTTATTTATTGCAAGCTATATTGATAACCAATTGGTTCAGCACCCAGAAAACAAAAAAATATGACAATACGAATTATTACTTGTTTTATATATTTTATTATGTCAATTTACAATAGAAAATAAGACTTAGTAGGTCAAAGAAGCTAATATGAAAAAAAAAATAATTCCGTTACCGCGCACTCCTTAATGGCGAGTTTGACAGGCATCACAGAAACTGACTGTTCTTAAGCTATAACTTGTAGATTTTTGTCTTCATGAAATGTACGCTTAAATTTAGATTTCTGGCTTGTTGAATATTACTTTGGAACCCTAAAATTGGCATTCCTTAGGTTGATGTACAGAAGTGATTTTTCATTAATGTTAATGAATTGAATTGAATTGAAACAGTTTATTTAGCCAGAAAAACACAGATACAGAGTGGATAATAATAACAATATTAACATGGCGGAGCCAGTTGAGAACCTGAGCTCTTTTAGGCACCTGATATATATTATACATTTATCTCAAGGAAATATTATGTAACATTTAGTAACGTCTGGAATAGTACAATAGCATGGTGGTAATAAGAACATCTTATAATGTTACCACGGTTATCACTTCAATATTTATTTTATTTTATTTATTTATTTATTTATTTATTTATATATTTTTTAATTCATTTCATGACTATATACATAAATTACAGTGGAATTGAAAAACATAAGTATAATGGGGGAGCAGTACAACATGGATAGTGCAGTAATAAGGTTGAACAAGAGGACAGAGCTATCAGGATTATGTCTAGTTGGAAATTGTGTTTATTGCAATGGTAATTTCTTATCTATTTGCATGATAATTTCCGATAAAACGGTTTTGATGGTACAATAAAAGCAGGTACTGTAAATATAGTAGGTATTTCAAGAAATATTAATACCTAGACAATAGATATTTTTAAGAGATGTTTTAAAGGAAGGGAGCGTAGTCTTTGCTCAGATGGGTGGGGGTAAGTTGTTCCACACCTTCACACCATAATATTTTATGGAAGACTGGGATTGAGAGGAGCGCATGGGGATTAGTCTTAGTAGCTCTGGGTGCCTTAAGTTGTATCTCTGATTATTCCGGAACTGGAAATAATTACTGACAAGCAAGTGATTGATAGATTTGCAAACAAAGATGGCACAGCAGTAGGTGTTAATATCTTCAAATTTTAACATTTTCAATTTAGCAAATTTTTTGTTTGTGTGATCTGTTTTTTTCAAGTAGGTCATTGTCCATACAACTCTCTTTTGTGCAGTAACCAGAGATTGTGTTTTTGAAGGGCCAGCAGCCCCCCATAGTGTGTGACAGTGAATCGGGTGTTGGTAAACAAGATCATGATAGATTTCTTTCATTGCTGTGAGAGTGAGTGACTGTCGAGTGTGATACATGATACTGCACTGTTTATTGACTTTACTGTGAATGGCTTGTATGTGGTTTCTCCAATTAAGTTTCTCATCAACAATAACTCCGAGGAATTTAGTATTTTGTTCGCGTCTGAAGACTGTATTACCAAGGTACAGGGGGTCCAAGTCTGGGGGTAAGTTTTTCCTACTGTGAAAGATCGTGTAGTGGGTTTTCTCAAGGTCAGTTTATTACTTATTACCCAGGTCCTGACTTTAGTCAATTCAGGTTTCTTAGTTCTCATCAAGGAATGGAGGTCTGAGTTGCTGGCATAGAGATTACTATCGTCTGCAAATAAGTTGTATTTTATGAGTGAGCTGGCGTGGACTATCTCATTTATGTACAACAAAAACAGTAGACCGAGAATGGAACCTTGGGGGACTCCATACAAAATTGGCGAGGAGTCAGATTGGTGGTTATTATAGCAGACATACTGCATCCTGTTGGACAGATATGAGGTAAACCAATTGTGGGACAGGCCCCTAACGCCGTAATGTTCAAGCTTTGAAAGGAGGATGGTATGGTCGACAGTATCGAAGGCTTTAGAGAGGTCCAAGAATATACCGACTGTGAACTGACTGTCATCAAAGGAATTTAAGATGTCATTAGTAAAGGATAGCAGAGCACTCTCAGTCGACCTTCTAGCTCTAAATCCAAACTGGGAGTCTGTAAAGATGTTATTGGCATTGCAGAAGGAATTTAGTCTATTACATGCTAGCTTTTCCAGTATCTTACTCAAGGCTGGGAGGACTGATATGGGGCGGTAGTTCTTGAAGAGACCTTTGTCCCCAGATTTTTTATATGCCGGGTGGACTTTAGCAATTTTCAGTTTATCAGGAAAGACACCACTAGTGAAGGAGGAGTTACAAATGTGGAGAAGAACAGGTAGTAATAAGTGGGCCACTTTTTTAATGATGCTCATTGGTATATTGTCTTCGCCTGCTGCTGCATCTTTGGACATTTTTATGATGGCCAGTAATTCATCTGCTGTGACAGGGGATAAGAATAGTTCATTTTGCTGTCTGTTTTGCAGGTAGGCTCTAAATTCCTCATTGAAGTGGTTGGCAATGAGGGAGGGTTCCGTTATAACTGAATCGTCTATCATAAAAGCTGAGTGGGGGGCCGAAAGCTGAGTGTTCCTGTTCTGAATAGAATTTATGACATTCCAGGTTTTCTTACTATCGCCTGATGTTGACTGGAGCTTATTTGCATAATAGTTGCGTCTGGCATTTCTAACTGCTTGAGTTACTCTATTTCTGATACTTCGGTAAGCATCACCGAAAGTTATGGGTCTTTTTGCAAATTTCCTTTGGAGTTTGTGTTTTTCCTTTATCATTATCTTAATTTCGCTTGTGATATAGGGTTTGGAAATGGATACAGTTTTCACTGACTTAGTCTTGAGCGGGAAGCATTTATCAAAGCAAGCATTGAAGATGCAAGAGAAGTTGCAGCTGTTCACGTTAGGGTTGTCGGAGGCATAGACAAGATCCCAGTTAGCATTCATTAGGTTGTTTTCAAAAAGGAGCATGTTGTCGGCGCAGTAGTCTCTGTATTGGATTGAGACTCTACTAGACCTTTCAGGTCTTGTGGCTGTTTTATACATGGCAAAAACTGGGAAGTGATCTGAGATATTGTTATAAATAATTCCACTTGCAAGATTGTTAGGAATGTTGTTAGTTCAGATATGATCTATCACAGTGGCAGAGGTGGCAGTTACTCGAGTGGGTTTGGTTATAGTGTTGAAGAAGAGTTTAGAATGACAGGGAGCAAGAAGATCTAATACTGAGGTGGCGGTTTCAGATTTTAATTGATCAAGGTTGAAATCTCCTTTAATGTAGCAATGTTTCCTCTCTGAACTCATGATAGTGATAAGCTCCGAAAATTTATCAAGAAAATTCCTTACATTAGTGTGGGGTCTTCTGTAGATTATCCTTACTAGGATATTTCGTGTGTTGTTACGTAATTCAATGAAAACACTCCATGTACTCCTCCTCAACCTTTAAATCATCTCTTACAGAAGTGTTATACTTGATATCAACATATAGGGCGACACCACCACTGTTTCGTGACGTGTTTACGCAGTGTCTATCATAATTCGGAATGTTATACAAATGGTCAATATCGTTAGTGAGTTTGGTCTCACAGAACCCAAGTACATCAAATTTGTGGGCAATAGAAGAAAAACACTGATAGGAAAAGGTATCTAGATGAAGGGGAATACTGCTGATGTTATGGCTAATCAAGGAGAAGGAATGGGGTAGTAGGAGACTAGAACTAAACTCGGGAGAGTCAGGAAAGTAATATTTACAGTTGGGGTTGGTGTAACCCAGTGAGTTTTGTAGAAAGACATCAGGATCGATATGAGGGAGTATTGTGTCGACACCATGGGTAAAGGGGGTGTAACACATACGATCTAGCACATCTAAGGGAATGACACTAGCATCATCATTGTAGGAACATTAATACTGATTAAGGAACAGTAAAAACTCAGGGTCACTGAGGTGTGAAAAAGGAAGATCTAAGAGCATTATAATAGTGGGAGGGTAACGTACTCACAAGTGCTACAACCAACAGAATTAGGATGACCGGTGCTGTTGAGGGTGATTCCCAGATAGAACAACCA